TCTCATTCAGGTCCTCAAACTTCCTTCATATTATAGACAGGTATACTCAACAGAATCACAAAGCCTAAAAACACACACCCATAAGTTACGTTTTTGTTTCAAAAACCTCTTCCACTCAACAATCACACAGCAATGTCATATTTAACTGAGCTAATATCTAACTCAAACTGGCTCGCAAAAAATCAGGACTGGAAGCCCTCTAACTTCCCAATGTTAGATAAAATGGTTAAGGAGAATACAATTTAAAACTATCTGTATTGCGTGTACAGTATGTACAGTGTCCTAGCCTAATCTGTTATCTTATCTTTTAACATTACATAAATCCACTAATTTAATGGGGGATAATCCACTAACAAGCTTTAATGCACATGTTAATTTAGATAAGTTGTGCTGATAATGTAAAATTTGAGTCTTTGGACATCTTACCTTTTAAAAGTACATCACAGCCGGTCTTTTCTGCTGTAACTCCATTGCGCTTCTAGCATGTGCCGCTTATTTTCGGGAACTATTGAGGCTCCGCGATCCGCCATTGCTGTGAAAAAAAATGGCCCATTGGAGTGAACGGAGATGACGCGACTCTCTATGCAAAGGCTCTGGACATACATAGCAGTCAACATCAGCGATTTTACTCAGGATCAACATGGCAATGATGGTCCTGGATCAACACGAGCAACTCTATCCAGGATCCAAATGTCAATGATGACCCTGGATATACACTAGCATTGCAATCTTGCAAAAAAGGTTTTGAATAGGCTATTAAAAAGGAGGGGAAATGTGTCCTTTGCAGGTCTTTGCAACTGCAAAATGACATTATCCTTACTCAGTGTAAGTGAAAAATATTTTAGCCTACTGGCAAGCTTACTTGTTAGCATGGCCCGCCTAGTTTGCAAGCTAACATGCTAATATTCTCGTCTAACAGCAAGTTTACTCGTTAGCATACTTGCTAACCCGGCAGTAGCTTATAAGGTTTTTGTTCAGCATCACTGAGGATTAGTTGTTCAATTGTCCTGACTTAAATTTGGAAAACTGGCTTAGCTCTGAAGAAGGACAGGAATTTTGAGAGAAGCACAAAAGCAGAACGCTGATGATGTCAGAGGGCTGCGATTGGTTAGCTGTGTGTCAATTCAGGGGTTGCAGCCTTTGAAGGACGAGGCCTTCAAGGTCGACGTTGGCCACGTCCTTTGAAGACCGCATCAGCCAAACCCAACGGTCTCCGAAATGGGATGGTCTGGTCTGCGGAGAACGTCCTAGTCGCCCTGACCTGTTGCCATTCCTTTTACCTAGCAACCAGCTGCGCTTGACGAAAGGAGTAAGCTAATGAGGTAGTTAGCCCTAAATCATGGACCCAGAGATTGTAATTTATTTATTTTTTAAATTTTATTTAATACTTGAGGAGATGATTCACAGTCAGAGTCACCGCTGTTTGATATACAGTACAGGCCAAAAGTTTGGACACACCTTCTCATTCAATGCGTTTTCTTTATTTTCATGACTATTTACATTGTAGATTCTCACTGAAGGCATCAAAACTATGAATGAACACATGTGGAGTTATGTACTTAATAAAAAAAGGTGAAATAACTGAAAACATGTTTTATATTCTAGTTTCTTCAAAATAGCCACCCTTTGCTCTGATTACTGCTTTGCACACTCTTGGCATTCTCTCCATGAGCTTCAAGAGGTAGTCACCTGAAATGGTTTCCACTTCACAGGTGTGCCTTATCAGGGTTAATTAGTGGAATTTCTTGCTTTATCAGTGGGGTTGGGACCATCAGTTGTGTTGTGCAGAAGTCAGGTTAATACACAGCCGACAGCCCTATTGGACAACTGTTAAAATTCATATTATGGCAAGAACCAATCAGCTAACTAAAGAAAAACGAGTTGCCATCATTACTTTAAGAAATGAAGGTCAGTCAGTCCGGAAAATTGCAAAAACTTTAAATGTGTCCCCAAGTGGAGTCGCAAAAACCATCAAGCGCTACAACCAAACTGGCACACATGAGGACCGACCCAGGAAAGGAAGACCAAGAGTCACCTCTGCTTCTGAGGATAAGTTCATCCGAGTCACCAGCCTCAGAAATGGCAAGTTAACAGCAGCTCAGATCAGAGACCAGATGAATGCCACACAGAGTTCTAGCAGCAGACCCATCTCTAGAACAACTGTTAAGAGGAGACTGCGCCAATCAGGCCTTCATGGTCAAATAGCTGCTAGGAAACCACTGCTAAGGAGAGGCAACAAGCAGAAGAGATTTGTTTGGGCCAAGAAACACAAGGAATGGACATTAGACCAGTGGAAATCTGTGCTTTGGTCTGATGAGTCCAAATTTGAGATCTTTGGTTCCAACCGCCGTGTCTTTGTGAGAAGCAGAAAAGGAGAACGGATGGATTCCACATGCCTGGTTCCCACTGTGAAGCATGGAGGAGGAGGTGTGATGGTGTGGGGGTGTTTTGCTGGTGACACTGTTGGGGATTTATTCAAAATTGAAGGCACACTGAACCAGCATGGCTACCACAGCATCCTGCAGCGACATGCCATCCCATCCGGTTTGCGTTTAGTTGGACCATCATTTATTTTTCAACAGGACAATGACCCCAAACACACCTCCAGGCTGTGTAAGGGCTATTTGACCAAGAAGGAGAGTGATAGAGTGCTGCGGCAGATGACCTGGCCTCCACAGTCACCGGACCTGAACCCAATCGAGATGGTTTGGGGTGAGCTGGACCGCAGAGTGAAGGCAAAGGGGCCAACAAGTGCTAAACACCTCTGGGAACTCCTTCAAGACTGTTGGAAAACCATTTCAGGTGACTACCTCTTGAAGCTCATGGAGAGAATGCCAAGAGTGTGCAAAGCAGTAATCAGAGCAAAGGGTGGCTATTTCGAAGAAACTAGAATATAAAACATGTTTTCAGTTATTTCACCTTTTTTTGTTAAGTACATAACTCCACATGTGTTCATTCATAGTTTTGATGCATTCAGTGAGAATCTACAATGTAAATAGTCATGAAAATAAAGAAAACGCATTGAATGAGAAGGTGTGTCCAAACTTTTGGCCTGTACTGTATTTCAGGCTGATGGCCTGTTTGATATATTTCAGGCTGATGGACCATTTTCAGGTAAACGTAGTAAATTAAGATTGTTTAAGCTGTGTGCTTTTAGCTAATAGTAACGTTAACTGTTGGCTTGTTAGTTAACTTAATGTATAATCATCACCGGCGCACAATGCATGTTGGGATAGGCTGGGCCACGAAGGATTCATCGGTTGCATCCTCCAAATTCTCAAAAAAGGCTTCTTTTAATCAGCTGCATTTGAGGGACCCTCCGAAATAGGACAGCCTTGATCGCGCTGATGTGACGCAATCTTCAAATGCAGCTTTCGAAGGCTGCAGCCCCTGAACTGAGATACAGTTATTGATTGCAGTTTTGGCCCTGGAATGCAATATGGGATGTTGATCCAGATGCATGTCCTTCTTGGTAAAATCACGTCGTGCCACTCCTTACTCATCAAATACCAATGTTTGCTGACATGCAGCATGAGATTTACGTGTTTAAGGAGCAGAATCTGTACTTTTCCAGTGAAGACACAATGCATGTAACAAGCTTAAATTTACATGCTATCACTGTGTATCCAAAATCTGCAGGAGGTGTATCTATCCCGTCAGTGCTTGATGTGTAGGGCCACTGACCAAGCGTTGGCATTTGACGAATAGGGAGTGAAAGTGTCTTGGAATATTCCCCAGATGGAGTCTGGACACTGGTTCTCATCGTGATGTTGAAGAGGTGAAGAGAGTTCAATCAGGAGAGACAGAAGAATGAAGTAAAGATAATAATTAATACAGAATATGAGTGTGCAGATTAATGGATGATTTGTGCTGATTAGGATTTAACAGAAGTCTTTGGTGCTTGGCCACCAGAGGGAGATATTTTGTGATCAAGGGACATCTGAGCAGCAGCAAGATACATCCAGACACTGGTGGTGGCTGCTGACTCTGAGGCTGCTGACTGCTAAGAGAGATGAGGCCCATGAATCCATAAAGGCTAGATGGTTATGGAGAGATGGAGGGCGCAGACAGCAGCAGCAAGAAAGAACTATGGTAGAGAAAGAACCGTATTTAACATGAGGAGCAGTAAGATTATCGCCTGACAGAGAAGGTGTGTCACTGTGCTGTTGGTTGATTGTGAATTGGTTGATAGTGAGTGAGCAAGGAATAAATGGTAGGGTGAGAAAGAAAATTTATAGCCTGAGCATGAAAAGTATGGTCTGCATTTGGCTGAAGATCTGAATGGATGAAATGTGGAGCAGGGCTTCCGATAAGCTCAGTGGAAGAAGCCCTGGGTCCTGGATGTGATATGAACTAGAGGGGCATGGGGCTGCATTGATTATGCACTGAAATGACAACGAACAGCAGCAGAGAAAGGAGACGGTTTAAAGCTGGACAGTAGGAGGGATTGTGCAAAGATTTCATTGGTTTAATTGAAAGAATGGACGCCCACTCATCTGATAGAAGCAAAAGATAAAGAGGGAAAATGAATGAGCGTGTAAAGAGTACTCAGTCAAAGTACACAGTCATAATGTAAGGAATAGATGTTTAAATGGTACAGGAAATGGTGACAGGGACACAACGCCAGTCTATCCAAGGTCTCAAACTTGCCAGAGATCACCATTCATTAAAAAATGTACTAAGCCCCTGCAGTTTGGTTTTGCTTCTCCCATCTCCCCTGGTTCAAACTAAATGCCACATTCTGCCCACCTAGAGAAGTCAACACAGAGAGGACTGCTTAGTAAGCAGCAGCCTGACATGCACATTATATTTATTACTGTAAATAAAAATAGAAAGTGGAAAACAAAAACAATTAGCGTGAAAGAAGAGGAGGAATGTATAAGTGTAGCCCATGTTAACATGTACTCATCACATGGTGTATGTGCTTTGTACGTGCTGTCACACAGCCATAGGATGTGGCTGGGAGTCAAGATAAAACAGATCGAAATCAAATCCTGAAGATGAAACTGTGCTGTGTGAAAAGGGTTGACTCAAATTCCCCAACACAACAGGTTGAGCATCCTGTCGCCACGATGCACAGTCTGCACAAGTTCCTGCTGTTCAATGTTCTGGCTTGTCTCGGACGAAACCGTAAGTTGCACAATCTGACTACTTCAGCCTGCAAATGAAATATGGTTTTAATTTGAACTCATTTTATTTTTCCTGTCATTTTTTAAGTATCTGGAAGTGGAATTATAGGTGGAGGAAAAGCCCCAGAGAACTCGATGCTGTATATGGCCTCCATACAGAGCGACAATAAACATGTGTGTGGAGGATTCCGCATCAGTAAAGACATTGTGGTCACTGCTGCACGCTGTGATGTGTGAGTCACAGAAACAAACAAACAAACAAACAAACAAACAAACAAAAAACAATGAATGTTTACAGAGTTGAGAAAATCCACTGACATCATCTTTATTTGTTTTTTTCAGGAATCTGGATGCAGCAAAAGTTGTTCTGAGCACCCAAAAACCTGGTAGCGCTATAAAAACAGTGAAATACATCAGCAAGAAGTGCAAACACCCCTCTTATGAGGATTTTACAAAAGGAAATGACATCATGCTCCTAAAAGTAAGTATTCATTATTTATTCAACCGCAGTATTCCCAAATGACGTCGTCAAATGATTTTCATTCATTCTGATGAGGAGTAAAACCGTGCTCACCGTGACAGTCAGATATTGATTATTACTTTCTGATTCTTTGTGTCTCCAGGTGGCGGGGGAGGAGGGAATGAATGTTGGTATAACAACAGTTGAATTGACTGATATTCAGGTAGAAGCAAACAAACAGTGCCGTGTAGCTGGATGGGGTTGCACTACACCTGGTGGTAACACTGTAGATGATCTGAAAGTGGCCGATGTGTCTATCATTAACCTGCAAGACTGTAAGAAGAAATGGCCTGGTCTTTCTGCAGATGTTATCTGTGCAGGTGGATATAGCACAAAGCGAACTCTTTGTAAGGTATGTTCTCTCTCCTGTTATATTGAAAAATTGTGGTTTCTAGTCCAAAAAAGTATTGACATCATGATGAATGAGCAAATGAAGATATTTTCTCCTCACAGGGGGATTTTGGTGGTCCACTGGTGTGTGACGGGAAGGCTGCGGGTGTGGCGTCTTATAACAAATGTGGCAACTGCAACAGGGAAAATGAACCCAGCATCTATACGGACATCTCAAAGTTCCTCCCATGGATCAACAAAGTTGTCAAGACAAATGACTGGACAGATTGTAAGAAATAACAATCTTACACACAGCTTTGCTTCAGCATCTTTGTATTTGTATTTTGGAGGAGCAGTTGTGTTTGAGTTGCTCTGTCAGTGTTTGCTCTTTATTGGAAAGGCAAAATAAAAAAATGTCTTAAATATCGTTGTTTTCTCTTTTTTTATCAGAAGATGTAAATGGTATTTTTTAAAATACATTTTAAAATGCAGCACAATAAATTTTTCCAGGAGACGTGTTAGGGTAAGTTTGTTGTAGAGCCACTGTGAGTGACTTGTGTTGGCAGCAAGGTAGTAATTATAATATATATTGGTGGAGACACAAAATATCTCCCTCCAACATATTGATGAAAAGTAGAAATAAAAAATAAGCTATTCTACAACAGCCAACCACGCACCACTGTCTGAAATAATCATCAGCAAATGTAATTATAAACATAAATAGCTTCTTAACAATGTGCCATTATTATGAAATATGGTGTATTGCAGTTCTGTGTGTGGTTTGTCCACATGGTGTTGCCGTACCCCAGTAGAACAAGGTTCACGGGTGTATTCAACAACATTAATGTCTTTATTATGCTTTATTTGTCAGATAGCCCACGTGGAGTCTGTCATTTATGTGCATGTGTAATTTATGCATCAAACGTGTCGTGCCGCTCCTTCAGACCACTCGCTGTCACATAGCAGGAAACTGGTTTCTGTGGTTAAACTGGTTTGTTGCAGAATGCAACATACTGAAAATCATTAGTATCTGCTATTGTAGTAATAGTTTTTTTTTTTTCCTTTTCATCACATAGATAAACAACAAAGAGTTACTGACTTACCACAAAGAATGAAACTGAAAGATGCAGAACGTAAATCGTGAATGAGCTAAAAGGAACAGGATCAACTAAGATTAATAGTGTAACCCAAAACAGAAACATTTCGACCTCTACATTAAATAATCTTTAGTATTGCATCTGTGTTCTTCACTTATTGAATTAATCTAACAAAAGTCAGTTCATGTAGCTGAGTAATGTTCATAAACGATGAGGAGAGGAGGTCTTAAAGGGCCCAGAATCAACTGAATTAAGTGTCCTAAATATAAAATGCAGTGATAAATGACATAATGATTAAGAAGGGGGAGAATCCAGTACCTGTAAGTCCTCAGCTGTGCTTGTTGGGCATGTTTCCAGATAGTTTTATCCTGCCTGGCAGAGAGAAGGGAAGGTTGACCTCAGGGCTGTGCAGTGACCTTTAGAGGGACAGGAGCTCACAGTTAAAAAGGGGGACATGGGACAATATCTTTTTTTTTCAACAATATGTTTATTGCATTTTTCATTCATTGCGGACAAATGTGGACTAACAGGCCAGTTGAGATTTCAACAAAAAAGCGAGCTTTAATACAGCGGATAAAAAACATCGAGATACAGCAGGTAACTAAGTCCAAATGAAAGTGGAACAGATATAAACTGAAAAATATAATACATATATTGAACTCAGGTAAAAAAAATCCAAACACAAGATATCAGGCAGGATACGGAGCATGGACGGCATCAAGAACGCAGGGACGAGCGCAGGAGGCCCGCAGGCAAGAATGCAGGAACAACCACAAACAAACTGACAAAGAACAAAGGGAAACACACAGGTATATATAGACACAGAAAAAAATAACCAGAACGAGACACAGCTGAAGTAGGAGGACATGGGCAAAAGGAGGGAAATGGAGATTGGCCAACAAGAAGGGTGGAGCAAACAAGACTAACACAGAACAGGTGTGAAGGGAAGACTCTGGGAACAGGGAGGGACTAACGAGACTGATGGAGGACAGGTGTGACAGAAAACACTCAAAGAAACAAAGTAAAGAAGAAGAGAATCTACAAAATAAAACAGGAAGCAGATTAAACATCAATGAATAACATAAAACAAGGAAGAACACAAACAGAAAACTCCAGAACAAAGTCCATAGGATAACACAATATAAACAAAAACTAGGATCATATAGAAGATGCTCTGGAAATAAGGCTAAGTGTGCCGCAGTCAGTCCTTTACGTGTGCCTGTATATTGTTACTATTTCTCATTTATTCGTTTTTTAAAAACGTCTGTGTTGACGACATAGTTTTCCCCTTCCTTATGCACCTTTTGTCTTATGTATGTGGATTGTTTTTAATATAATACCTTGTAATCTAACCAGGGGGGAGCTCTTATGTGTACGCATAACTTGTTAGATGTTTAAAATCGATAAAAGTATGTGTACAATAAAGAAGAGGGCGAGTGAATTCATGTGACAGACTGTGATAAACTCATCAGATACTGATTGTATAATGCATGTGCATCATGCTGTTAAGACATCAGATAACAAACAAGATCATGCAAAGATAATACACACTGCAAACGTGCAAAAATACATTGCACAATGCATGTGGTTAGAAGTCAGGATCAAATAGAAAATAATCACACAATCCAACTAGTTTTGAAGTTTTACTTCCTGATGCCTCCAGCTGGCTGAGAAAGCTCGACTGGACAGCAGAGTCCAGACAATTCCACCTCCCAAGTGTGAAACAAATATGAAAGAAAACTAAACATGCCGTGTAGCTGGATGGGGTTCCACAAGTACTGATGGTAGTGTTGTTGATGATCTGAGAGTGGTGGATGTGTCTATCATTAATCTGGAAGTCTGTAAGACAAATGGTCTCTTCTTCCTGCCAGTGTTATCTGTGCAGGTGGATATGAGACCAACAAAGGATTCTAACCTTTCTGTCTGTTTGTAGAAAATATCAGCTGCTGTGGAAACATGCTGCAATCATCTTCAGTCAAAGTAAGAATGAGGAATTTCTTCCTCCTCACAGGGGGATTCTGGTGGTGCTCTGGTGTTGTCTTTCAACAGGAAGAGAAATTGTAGCTACCGACATGTGCCCAACGTCTACACGGATATCTCAAAACATCTTCCCTGGATCCAAAGCATCATCAAACGTCATGAGTTAAGTCTTGCACAAAATTTTACTTCAGCAAACATTCATAGTAAAATGGAGGTTTTGTGGTGGAGATACTGCCTCATCCATGAAGTTATTATAATCAGGAGAGAGTTCGGTGTGAGACTGATTAAATGAATTTATAGACATGGTGCAAAATAAAGTTAAGAAATATGAGGCAGCTTTGGCGAGTAGACCCCTTTGTGTCGTATTCATTTTGGGAAGGTACTGATACTATGAGAAGTACAGGATTATTCAACACAGTCTCACTCCCAACTCATCAAATACCAACACTTGGCCAGTGACCCTCAGCTTAGGAGACACACGAAGGCCCAATCCCAAACCGGCCCCTATCCCCTCGCCCTATTCACTCCCCCTCCGTTTGCGCGGTCACGCGGAGCTCCGCCATATTAAGGGCCGTCCCAAACCAATTATCGCTGAGTGTGAGTGGACTGCTCAGCCCTTAGATAGCTAGTGTGCATCAGTGCAGGCTTCTGATGAGCCCAACAGGAAGCGCAACATCACAATGGAGGAAACAACGTACAAATGTAAGAGTTCCGTCTTTCTACTTTGTAAAATATTTTAGATCAAACACACACATTTGTTTTC